CACCATGCAGCAGCCATCACAGCAGCTAAATGATCAACAGAGCCTTTCTGCTTTGCAGTTTGGTGAAACGGGGACTTTTCTCCGAGTCACATCCTATACAACAATAAATCACACTGCTTTTCACATGAATGACAACCAAGCCCAGAGAGACACATTCTAAGGATCAAGAAACAGCCACTTCTTTCGCATAATGAGAAGTCTAATCTTCCACTGCTATGCCTTTCAAATTTTCTTCCCGAGTTGACAACTTTCCTGTAACAGGAGATTTTACAGAACACCTCCTACCTCCAGTCACTGTCAAAATAGCATGCAGTCCTTAAAGAAACTTCTCCATATGCTGTAGTTTAAGATAGCTGCCAAAGCCTTTTCTTGGGCAGATAAAATACCAACAGGATAGCCACAGTTACCAGTCCATTCCTAAAAAGCAACCTAGGACACTCGACCCAAGCAACAGAAAGGTTCTCTTAACATGGACTTTATCAACAATGCATTTAGAGAGGAAAAAGCTGAGAAGTACTGCATCAGGAGGGAAGTCAGGATGCCAGACTTGACTATGACCGACCAAGGGCTCTCAAACAAATGCAAGGGAAAATTAAGTTACCAGTCAGGTCCGAAGTGGTGGCATCTTCAAGGTGAGGTCCTTAGGTCACAACATTTCTTATCACCCTCATGACCACGCTCCCATGCAGCTTATTTTGCCCCACGTGGAAGAGAAGCAGAAATGAGTACCTCTGGCAGATCTTGCTGCTGAGCTTATTTCTCAACCAACCTCAAAGCCTACTCACCTATGCTCACTATAACTTGTGTTTTACTTGTAAGTAGGAGCCTGAGTGCCCAATCTAGAATAATCCCATTGTAGTAATGGAGCACCAGACAAGTAGGGGCAAGCAGGGACAGGCTGTGTCCAAATCCTCTTCCAGCCAGCAGCCACCAAGTATCAACTGTGCTAAAGGAGAACTGGAAATTACTCCTGTAGCCCTTATGTTTATTGAAAGAATGCTCTTGCCCCCAGATAACTTACAGAAACAGACTCATTACTGCCAGAAAGTAGGTCAGTGTCATTTAAAGCCAGCTTGAAATGCATCTCCACAGAAACTTCTTAATCTTTAAAAAGAGAACGCATCAAATATTTATTCAATGGTGCAAAATGTTTGAGAGACTAACAGGGAAAGCTCTTATGTATAGTGCATGAAATGGCTTTCCATGCCTCGTTGAGCCATGGAATATGAAAGGAGGGTGGCTCCTTACACTTGGCAGATAAAATGCCATACAAAAGTATTTCTCAGCCTAGCGAATCACAGCACATGACTTGCTACCTCATTTTGCCTCGTGTTGTGTGATCATGAAGCTTTCTGCCTTCTCAGGTCTCTCCTCCTGCTTTTAATGATCCTGCTGCAGATTTTTCCATATTAGATAGGCAACTCATTCTTAAATTTCAATATTCCTAATTATCAAACATTCAGCACTTCAAAATGTAAATAAAATTTGCATCTCCGCAAGAGTAGCTCTGAAGAAAGAATATAGCATTTGCATTCAGACTGGCTAATTCCTGTAAGATAACATTTCATAAACAAAATGCTTCATTGAACATGGAGATTTTCAGTTTTTACAAAGGACTGTGAACTTTAAACAAATACAAATCAGTTGAGTGATTAACTTTAAGTGTTTTGTTGTGTGTTTTTTTTTTAACTGATCTTTATGTATAACTGGTATCAGTAGAACAATCTTTACTGATTAAAGAACTAAGTGACAGCAAAACTTAAGCCACTGAAAATTGAGGGGGGGAGGGGGTCATCAGGAAATCATTTAAGGTCAATAGGAGAAAAAAACACAAAACCACACACACACGCAAGTCAGCCTGGGTAAGATGAGTGGCATCAGCAGCACGGGTTACGTGAGGTAAGTTCAAGTTGTGGGCAGCACTCGCAGGTTAAGAAGTGAAACTAAACATGCTTGCCCCTGCCCCCACCAAGCTTTGTCATAATCCTACATGTTATCTTAATTAGCCTAATTTTCTTAATTATACTTCGCAGCAACTCCATCTTTTTTAGCACAATTTATTTTTTATTTTTTTAGCTTTATTCCAGCACGGGAAGAAGCAGCAACTCCTCTGCCAAAAGCCAAGGGGCGTGCAATGCCTCTGCGCTTTGTCTTGACGAGGTCTACGCTGTCTCCTCCTCTTCCTCCTGCCACCCCAGGTCTGATTGCAGCCTTGTCCCCTCGCTCTGCTCCCATTGTGCCCCAAACAAGGGGCACACAAGGCTTCCCCCCCCAAAATAAATAGCAGTGATGGGGGGGGGAAAGAACAAAAGCAAGTCATTTACTTCAGACTACAAATTCTGTATTTTTAACCCCATTCAGTAAGAAGCCTTCAGCATGCAACTTTCCTTCACTCTTCAAAGCTCTCCTGTGAGGAAAAAAAGCACTTCCATTCATCTACACTGCACCAATTTTATGGCTCTGTTCCTAAAAAATCCCATTAGTGATAGGTTTGGAGAAGATTAGAGAAGAAAGCTTGTACCCACTGAAGCAAAGTTTAATAGGCTCTCGAGTTAAGCCAGAGCATTCCCTTAAACAATGCACATCATTAGCAATAATTACCTGTAGCCATATAATCAAAATAGCGATCATAACTGACATGAGAAGCCCAGATGTCATCTTTGGCAAGGCTCGGAAACTGTTTCCACCAAATGTTATAAAACTGACTCCAAAAGAGAAGCCGGCATTAAGAATACCACAGCATGAGCCAGAGGTGGAAAGTCATCGTGAAACACCACAGAATGTGAACCGTGGAGACGGAAGCAAAACGAGAACCCCGAGCCTAGGAAGGGCACAGGTACAGAATTCCTAGGCAGTGTTTGATGAGACCTGAAACTTTGCAGAAATTAATACCATTTGTAAATATTTTCATACAAAGCCCACGTCTAACACAACGTTCTGTAAACACACCACAAAATCACTTCCTTGGCTTTTTATTTTTAATTTTATGGAAGTTTTTCATCCTTTAAGCAATGTCCAGTGAAGCAGTTGATGATGGTCCTTGACTTTCTCTCCCAAGACCTTACTTCAAGGGTTACTGCCTTCTACCCAACGCTGATACAGAAGTCACAGCTTCCCGTCATATCGAGCCAACCCATACCTCATTCAAAGCCCTTCTGTGACACCGGGACAAGCAGGTTTAGGAGCAGCAGCTCAGGAGCACACATGCATGTCCACAGCCACCCAGTTGGGCATCGATTAGACCATCAATCCCAGAAGGAGCCATTCAAACATTTGTTTGAGCAGGAGACTCACACAGATTTATAACACCGCAAGAACTCTTCTTGCATGAGGAGCTTCTTGCTTTCTTGCATTAGCACTTCTTATATAGCTCCCTGGTACATTGTCAGTACAGAATTTGGGCAAAAGAAGGAGCACCAAACAAGGGGCAAGATAAACAAGAAAGCTGCATTTGAATTCAAGGAAAACAAGACAAAAACAGAAGACAAGCCATGGGCTTCCACTACCCCTGTACCAACAGAGCAGCCCAGCTCAGAATGACATCTCCCTTTCTAGAATACCTGGAGAGATGCTCTATAAATAGAGCTCTATTAAATTAGGTTTGTCTACTGTGTTTTTTTTTAACATAAGCACATGCTCAATCCATCCCAGTACTGTGAGGAAAAAAGCCACTAGCTCCCCAGTGTTTCTCAGATTTGAGGGAGGAACACATTCAAGTAAGAGCTATCCACAAAACTGAAGAACCGACCTCTTGAAAGACCCTGCATTGCAGAAAATGCATCACAGACGAATACCTACAGGCAGAACATCACTCGTAGGCATGTACCTGGTTTCCCAACTCCCCACTGTACCAGAAGCAAGTCTCAAAAATCTAAGAGACTGCTATATTACAGATTTTTTTTTCTCTTTTTTGGTAAGGCTGATCATTTCAGAGACTTGTAAACTCATTTCAGTTTTTATTGCAAGGGTCAAGTTTTCAAGACTGCTGCCTGTAACCTCCAGCATCCCTATTTACTGCAGTGCTTCTTGCTCCCAGCCTCAAAAGCCACTAACACACTGCTAGAAATCATTCTGAAGCACACAAAATCCTTCCCCCACAAATACACAACGCCCTAAATCTAAGGAGATGTGGACTTCAGTCTTGTTTGACTGTTAACCTAAAACCAATTAAACAGAAGTCACAAAAGTAACCTGTCAAAAGCACGGATAAATTTCGTGGACCTCATCATTACTGAGTTAGTTACTTCCAGCAGTCATTACTTGCAACCATAAACTGAAATGGCCAAAGCAGGAGCATCAGCACGCTATAAAAACTCACCTTCCAATGCTCAAACCCACAAATGACTGCCTCACACAGATACCTGAAACACTAAATACACGTTTAACAAAACTGTAAGCAAGGAGGAGGTAACTGAGCACCAACACGGCCTCTTGAAGGACAGAAACATGCAGTCTTGTAGGGATGAATCACGTGTCTTAAATTACAAACACATTAGGGATCATCCCACAGCCAACACTAATATGGATCAATTAAAAGCAAAAACTCCAGCAAAACTCTTCCTTCTTAATAGAAAGTACTTTAAAAACCAAGAGACTTCTTAAATATTAGCGAAGACTCAACAGTAGAACCATGCCCATTCCTCAGAACAGTACATACAGATGAGGCTGATCAGTGCAGATATAACAAAGTTAAGCATCAGGTGAGCATCTCAGAAAACACCTAGAACTATCAGCACTATGTAACACACCAATTAGAAACATAAGTAAGATTTCTTCATAACCAATTCAACTTTCATAACAGTTCGACTTTGCATCCTGGTGCAAAGTTTTGATTTTAAAGAAAACAGTAGCACAGGGAGAGGGACTGGATTACCATTTCAGGCACAGCAGAAAGCCTGTTCACACAACAAAAAGCCTTTTCGTCCCACGCAAGCACACTTCTTGCCAAGTCCAGTGGCATTCTGCTGTTGTTAGTGAATTCAAAGGGTTTTTGTCCTTACCTGGATGGCTTTGGGAGCTCATTGCTAGTAACGTCGAGTCCTTTGGAGAAGGGATTGGAGACAGGTCAGTTTCCACACAAGTAACAGCAGCTCTAAAGAGCTCCAATGCTTCACCAATACATAGAAATTGGAAGTGGGGATTAAATCATGGCCACCTTATAAAATCCAGGGCACAGTGACATGCTGAGCTGTATACAAAATAATCCAATAGGGTGGCAGAGTATCTTCTAATCGTTCTCAAGATGGGAACCTGCAATAAAAGGAAAGGATGCCTGCATTAGAGAATTAAGATTTACAACCATTTAAATTACACACTATAGAGCGCACATTTTGCCAGAAGAGGAGATTAATCTAGGATACCATTTTAGGCATCAAACGTTGCAGAAAGAGTAATTTTCAGAGCTATGGGTGCAATTTCAAATACCCATAAAAATGCAAATATTTAACCTTGTAAAAACAAACCAGAAAAAAAACTTTTCAACTACACATTCAAGTCTTCAAAACCCCCCAAACTCGCATGTTCGTTCTGATCCTTCAACAGTACCATATGAAGCCACTTCAGTCCAACAGCTTCCATATTTTAAGAGCCATATGTATGAGTGGTAACTGTACTTCACGCATCTGCTCTCCAAAGAAGTCTCAAGAAAAATCCCTCGGTGCCAAGAAGTGGTCTTGGAGCAGGAAGGAAAAAAGCCCACACAATCCATTGCGCTCCCCCTCTGCCAAGCCTCCAGCAGTTTATTAAGAAGCAACATCATACTGCTGAGGAAAAATCCACCACCCCTGATTATTTTTAAGCTGTGTATCAGAGCAAGAAAGAAGCCTGCGAAAGCACTCTAAAAAGCTGAGTTTTACACGTAGGGTATCCCAAAGCTCACTCTGCTTTAATGTGCAGAAGGGGAGAGACCTGCCAGCAATAGGTGCCATCAGCCAGAGCTACTGAAACAGATTAAACCAGCTGTCTCCACGTGAAGCAAAGGGTTATTCCCTTCTTCGAGCACATCAGCAGCACCAAGGCTCCCATGAGACAACCTCTCCTAGCCCTGAGGACCAGGCGTTAGAGGACAGCCAGCCTCGGGAGCAGCTCCTCGCTGCCATCGCTCCCTAACCTTGGGCGGAGGACACGTAGGGTACGAGGCGCTGCTTGCACAAGGAGCACCTGTCCCCAGTTTGTCTTTGCCATCGCATTTCGCACAGTCCCATCTATTCTTGGAAGAGCTCTTACCACGCTCCGCTTTACCCCTCCCTGCTGTCATTAGATATTTGTGTCGCTTTCCAATAAGGCGGCCAAAGCGGGTCTAAGACTTCAATACCAGCACAGCCGCCTTGCACGGGGCCTGATTTATGGCACTGCTTCCCTGGTTTGCCTAAGCATATTCCGCTTAACAAAGAGGCCATCCTCTCTGTATCACAATTAAAAAAAAAAAAAAAAAAAAAAAACCACCTCTAAATGGCCATTTCTCTCTACCCCAAGTGCTTCAGCATTGCTACTCGCCAAGTTTCCCCGCCTGTCTCGCATTTTCAGGGACCTGGGATGCTCTTTTATGTTACACATTAAATTAAGAGAAAATTACTTAAGTGTCATTTCTAATCCCTACAGGTCTCTGCCATCTCAAGTGTTCAAGATATTCCAGTTCCATTAATTTGCACATCCTGTTGAAGAGTCAGGTCAGCTAAGACCAGGCATTAGCAAATATTAACATCATTCATTTCCAATAAAATTAGCAGGTAATGTTATGGCACAAGCAATCGCAGCTGCAGACAAGGAAGAACTCAGAGGAGAGCTAATAGATTTTTATCTGCCCATTCACACGACGCAAGAATGAAGGCGAGAGCACGAACAATGAGAAGATGTATTTATTTTCTGAAGAAACTCGACCGACACAGCAGCTGCAAATCCATTTAGCAGCACCACTGCCTTACCTATCCCCAGCTCTTCCCCCAGAGGTCTATCTAAACTCAGTCAGGCATGAAAGAGACCCATAATATTAAACTTCTGCACGTTTGGGGATTACTAGCGCCTGGGGAGAACAGAGACAACAAAATGGCCATGCTCAGGTTTAGTTCAGGTATACATTTTTTTTATTACCTTTAAAAAAAATCCTACATCTCTTCCCGAAGACTGAATAAATTATAAGCATAACAGACCTTCCCAGGACAGGCACAGCAGTCACCTCCCAACTTATTTCCCCACTAACCTCGTATTTTCAGCCGCCACTTGTGCTGAACTCAATGCAGCCCAAGTAGAAATTTCTTTCTGAGAGCCAGGAGTTGCTCTCAGGCCCCTGCTCCTGACAGTTCTGGTGTAAACTTGTCATTTTGCCACTACCTCACGAGACCTTTCTCAAGTGTGGAGAAGCAAAATGTTCTCTACTGTGGCTGGGATGCTGAGGTCTGGATGGCTTTCCAGGAAGATCTCCTGCTAGGGAGCACATCACAGGGCTTGCTTCGCCCTCAGCAGTGCGGCAGGCAGGCCTTGCATCGAGTGTGTCAAGGCAGCTATGTGTGTAAAAACACTCTCATGAGGCAAAGAAAGCAGCAGCAAATTGGCCAGCAGGCTGGGCTGCCACACATGCCAACAAACCACCTATATGCAGGTGTGTGAGGTGGCCAAGGGAGAAGGCCAATGGCTCTAAACACACAACCACTCAACAGTTCTCCAAAAAAAATCAAGGCTCCTAACCCTGAGCAGTGGTTCTTCACCTTCTTCCTCTCCACCCGCATGAGCAGGTCTGACCCCAAGCTCCCAAAGTCCCCCCAGGCCCCACTTCACCACCCGGCCCTACAGTGTCCCCTCCACACGCTTTCCAAGCAGACTTTCCCCCCCACTGGGCATGCAGACGACAATTAAGATACAGAACTGGGAAGTGTGAGTAATCTGACAGTTCTCCAAGTCTATTTCCATACATTCTGTAGCTACCAAAAGCTTTTCTCATTTTTTATTTATTTTAAAGGTAATCACAGCAATCCTCATGATCTGCCATGCGAGTGCTTTGACAGCATGGACGCTCCCCTTCCTCTTCTCGGCCCTCCCCAGATGTGTCTCTGCCCATCACGACGACTGATGTGCGATAACCGATAATTAAAATCGTGCCCCAGTTCGCTTCTAGGTCCAGGGAACACTGCTCTGCCTTCCAGAGCCCCCAGCTGCTAACAGCTTGGGGCAAGGCACAGCCTTGCAGGAGGACAAGCTCAGGAAGGCAACACCAGGAGAACGCCTCCTGCGTGCTGGCACTTCTGCAGCTCGCAGCAGCACTCCAGCACCGCAGGGCTCGGTCTCCAAAAGCCATGGCAACACCCACCTTCCAAAAGGCATTAATTCATCTGTCCTTATATATATGCAATGTGAGGCACAAAACACGGGATTTATTTTTTTTTTCTTCCCCAAATCTACCAAGGTTTTAAGACTTCTTGCTGCATAAACAGGCAAACAGATTTCAGTGCAATCCCACACGCTCTGCTCGAGATGATGACGACCACGGCTTGAAGCTTGCTTGGATCCCTGGCCCTCAACACGCAGCCCGTGGACGACCCAGCGCTGCAGCAGGCGCCTGCTTTGCACAAACCCTGAGAGCGGGTGCGAGGCAGCCCCTCCAGCACAGCTCAGCGATGCAAGCTCTCCTCTGGCAACAGACCCAGGATCGTTCCCTTTCTGGGGTTGTTTTTCAAAGACTGCCGATGTAAAATCTATATGGAAAGGAGGAGGAGAAAAGGAAGAGCGGATGCATATAGCTGCTCGGAGTAGTAATAATTTACCATGACCACAAAATGATTTACTACATCTATTTAGAGCACAGGCAGCGTGAAACGGTCTCCCAGGCTGACTCTTCCCTCCAGGGACCACGTCTCCAGAGCCACCACTTTGCATGATGACAAAAATAGCAGCGGTAGTCCTGAGGACTCATGCAACCCTTTGACAACACCACTTCAGCTCTTCTCCAGCAGCACGCTGCTTTCCCGAAACTGTCTCAGGAGACCAGGATCCAGAAGCATCGTCCAGTCCCCCAAGTGTTGGGTTTCTCACCGTTTCAACGATACCCAAAGCAGAGCTGTCACCAAAGACATCTTCAACAACATCTGACATCCTCTCAAAGAGTTTTAAGTCTCTGAAGACTGTGTTTCTGTTGCTAAACACGTACCGCAGGGGCAAGAAGTTCTTATAAACAGACTGCACTATAAAACGCACCATCCACTTCATGCTCAGCTGCGGACAGAAGAGCAACTAGAAGAGTTGACAGTAACAGGAACTAAAAATAGGACACCAGTTTGCTGCTGTATTAGCCAAATAAAAGTTTACTGTTCCTCCAACATCACAAATATTTGGTGAAAAACTAGACTTCCCTCTCTGTTTCCAAGTACACAGGATAACCCAAAGAGCAGCAAAAAAAAAAAAGAGTAAGAAAAACGATCAGCAGCGTGCTGCAAATTCCTTGTGTACACTAAGCAGATTATAAGTCTTCAGCCTGGAACAGAGATGGCTGAGACACATTACAGAGACAGTCTGCAGAATTATAATTAACACAAAGAAATCACCAATCACTGTTTCCCACCTCTTTCAGAGAGGGAAGTTTTCCCATTCTTTTTCTAGGAGAGAGTTCAGATGGACACCCAGGAGAAGGAAAGCATCGGCTAGAGAAAGCAGAAGATTTCATTCACTCCAAAAAGCAAACGTGTAAACAGTAAGTACTTCGTCAGAAGGCCAGGAAACCCACAAAACAAGTCTCTGGCTCACAGGAGGGTGTTTCAGAGAGCTGTCCTCTTCCAAAATGCCTCCCCAGGTACATCATCAGGGATGCTACTGGAGATCATGGCAGCCAAGCACAAAGACAAGGGCCCACCACCAACACAAGCAGTCACCAAATGGACATAGGAAGAACTTTGGCTTCACATGTTAACAACAAATTCCCTGGTAATAGTCAAGTGGCACAGTGGCCTTTACATGGACAAATTATCAGGCAGTAACCAGCTACAAGGCCGGCCCTGCAGTAAGAGCCATTCTTCACTTGTTAAAGTTTTAGCAAAGGTATCAAGAACAAGCAGTGAAGGGGCTGCTGAAGTTTGCAGCCTTCAGGCTGCACCAGCCTTAGACTGGTTCCCCAAAGGAAAGGCTAGAAAGGAAACTCCGTATTTTTCCCCTAGAATTTAAGTGGGAAACATTTGGTTCTTTCACCAACACATGTGCTCTTCCTTCATCCAAAAAGTCCACGTGCTCAACTGGGCTTTGCCCTACACTGACACGACAGAGTCCCA